TGCTAATGTGTGAATTTGATTCTTTGATTTTTATTCAAACAACATGTCCCCCCTACTATAACAAGATTTTTATTTTTGAGGTTTTATTTTTTGAATGGTTATATGATTGCAGCACTTCGAGGATTTCGTGATAGGTCATTTCCGTTCTCGTGCACATGATATTCTTTCAGCATGTAGAGCATACATGGAGGGTGCAGTAGTTGGTTCAGTGGTCAAGGGAAAGATCCAGGATTGTAGCAAAAAGAGAACCTCGTCACAGTTTGAGGCTACTATAAGGAGAATGATAACTGGTCTCATTTCAAACTTCACGAAGATTGGTGCGGATGACTGTGAGAAGTTTCGCTGTTCGTGATGATGGTTTCTGCAGTAGGTTTATTAAAATAACGCGTATGGAGAGGAGGATGGTAAATCAACACCTTTGTCTATGTTGACTTTGATGGCTTTTTATTAGCAATTTGGTATAAAAAGACTATCTTTGAGATCCTAAATGTGTAAATATGTAAGGATAATATAGGGCTGAGGATAAATCTTCCTCCTGGATATGGTTCTTCGCCTTGCATTTCTAAATTAATCCTATAATACTTTCTCATTTTCTGGGGGCAGTCTTTGAATCTTATACCTGAATATACATGAGAGTGAACTCTGCATATGTTTTTATCTTAACAGTATTCTGGTCGTTTGATTGATGTTTTAACAGGTTTTTACATAAACTTTTGTTTAATATAATATACCAACACGCAGTATCAGGCATGTAGGCGGTAGGTGAAAATTCAGTCGCTGATATTGAAAAACGATTGATGTTTTGTTTATTTAAATAAATATGAAACTACGATATAAATCGCCTAAATGCTGGTTTATGCTTTTAACGGAAAGCGAGGGAAATGAACTTTGGAATTCCCTTCTTTGTAATAAGCCCAAGAAATGGTGTTTTTGAACTGAAGTATAAAGACATTATTTTGTCATATTCATAGCATTCTATGGAGTTTGCAGAAACGTCTCTCTTCAATTCAATGTCATATTTTTCATGCGTCTGGTCGTCCCAAACTTGGACAGCCCAACTTACAAAGACACCCACATTTCTGTTCATGAAAATGATTGAGAAAGTAACCCTTTTAAGGATCAAATATACTGCTAAGTCACCTCCGGCGACTCGGAATTAGAGACAGCCCATGTTCCAGTTCAGCAGACTTCTTTAAGGAGGCGATTATATATGAAATGATTCCGGAGATGCTATACTTCGGGAAGTTCTATTTATCAAAGATTAATCCTCTCTAAAGGCCACTGTCCAACAATTATGATTTTGAATTCAATCTTAAACACACTTGCCACTGAAAGCTTATTGCAATCACAAGACTGGATTTCTTCACATTTTCAATCCACATAATGCACGTACAAACTGCCACAAGAAACTCCCAAAGTTATGGCAAAATACCACCCAAAAAACTTGTAGCACATCAAAAGAACGAGTCGAAATTAATAGTTCTGAGTAGAAGAATAGGGGTTGGAGCAGGGAAGGAGGGTTCTCTTCAACAATTCAGTAGGATATAAAGAAAAGAATGCTGGTAGAAAATAAATGTATTAGTCCAGAAAATGTGGTGGAACCTATATTTTATCATTCTAAAATGCGAAAGCAACAACAATGGAAATCTCTGAAACTGCTAAACAATCCCCAGAATGCATGGGTTGCATTTGGTTTGCATTTCCCTTTTTTGTTATCAGTTTTGAATTCATTTTTAGTTTTCTGTTTTGAGAGATTATTTTCGAATTACAGAAAGCGTGTTTGGTTTGTCATTTTGAAAAACAGTTTCTCGTAACAGAAAACTAGAAGATGCGTTTGGCTTAATATTTTTAGAAATTGTTTTATGACATTTATTCAATGAATTTGATTATTTAGTAAAACATAATAATTTTATGCTAATATATTACCAGATAATATATTTTTTAAACTTGGTGAATTTAGTATTCTTTTTTTGCTACAAAAATAAAATGATAAATAATAAATTTATAGACCAAAAATAGGAATCGTTGTAAAGAAAATAGCTAGTCTGTCATTCATCCTTCTAGATGTATTTTGCTATCACTTGGACAGTAAAAAAAAAAAATAACAGTTCTTCTAAATTTTGATCAATTAAAAAAAATACAATATAGAAATTGAAAAATATTGTGGGTTTTAAAGTTATTATACTTCACTAAATTATATCATTTTGTTTTAAAGTTATTATACTTCACCAAATTTTGTGTTTATTAACTGAACACAGCTTCATCAACATTCAACACTTGAAGACACGGAACTTCCTTCTAATCTTGGGCATCTTGAAGGGAAATTTAAATTTACATCGAAGACTTTGGAATAGTACCAGCCCAAAAATTCTGAGCTTGTATTTAACACGGGTTGGGAGTTGAACAATCTACGGATTTCCCAGGATATAAGATCAGGGAGTTTTGTTCCTATTAGACAATGCTCTAGCATCATATAATATGTTCTGCCTCTTGATTCACTAATTGTTTAAGCATTAAAATTGTTGTAAACTACGTTGTAAAACAGCATAGTTTTTTGACTTGCAATTCCTGTATTGACCTATAATTATTTGCTTATATGAGATTAGCATATATTTTAGTTAATCTGGATTAGAGGTCCTTTGTAATTGCACAAAGACCATGCTTGGCTTGATTGAAGCTATGTGATATGATATTGATCGTTTTACAAGGTTACTTCTCCACAGAAGCTGTGATTTGTTGAAGGTAGAACTTGATTAGGAAGGTAAAAAAACTTGGTAAGTCATACAAATGCTAATAATGAGAAGAGGAGAGAAAAATACATAGATGAGACTCGCAGAGTGAGTCCTAAACCAAAGCAATGTTGATCTTTAGTTTCTAACAAATATAAACATTTTTAGCTTCCAACTGGAAAGAGGTACACAAACCCATCAGTTCATTACAAGTAAAAATCAACGTTACAAGCAAGAGTGCAATTGCCAACACTTTCTAGATTCACATATGTTTACAACGATAGTTCACACATACATTCACTCATAATAATACCACACATACAAAAGTTTATGTAATAACTAGTCCTTCGATTAATATGTACTAATTAGGACGACCCTTTTGCATTCCCTTCCACGCTACCTTTTGCCTTGTAGATTCACTGTAACAATTCAAGCAAGCAAACCAATAGTTAGGAATGCACAAACGAAACTACTACTTGAGAAGATAACGGAAATGCATGAATTTAATATTGATGAACTTACAGAGATGTATAGACAAAAAAAAGTAACAGTTTCCAAATCTAGTCAATGTCTCATTAGTCCCACCATCTTAAACTCATTTTTTAGTACACCATACAAGGTTAATAATATCCAATATCTCCAATAGGCTGCTCTTGGATTACGTTTGTCTATTACACTGTTCTTGGACTTGAAGATTATGAAAGCAAACTTTACAATGTGTGAAAACGATGTCAAAATTTCAATGAATAGAGGCTGCAAAATTTTACATTGTTCTCTCTAAATTTTGCACAGAACAACCATCATATTATCAGACAAATTATCAAACAGACTCAAATACACTAAATTGTAATCCGTACATTTCAACTCTTAAAAACTATTAGAGTTGAAACTATAGTAACTACCGCGATCATTATAGACAAAATAGAATAATATATCCTGGAATTCCTCACTTAGATATTCATAGTTCTACTTATGAATTCAGAAAAAAATTGAAAGTCAAAACATATATATTTGATGTTATTGTTTTTTCTTTTATGTATTACAACTTCGATTAATGTTTCTTGTTGCATGAACAAACCTTGGACAGAGATGGTGAACCGTGAGGTGGCACCGAAGCAGACTGATGTGCAGTCGGAGATGGCAAGGCATGGGGATGGTTTTCGCCAGGGTGGGTTTTGATTTGGGAGAAGATAGGGGTGTGTAGTGTTTGATTTGGGAGAAATTGAAATGGAACTATGTCTTCAATTGCTGTTTTTGGTTTTTTACTTTTTAATTTTTTTCAAATGGTTGACACGTCAACCTGGAAGCAACTCCTGTTAATTACCCCTGTTTGTATAGCAGAATTGTTTATGAAGAAGAGTGTGGGCCCAATATGATATTTACATGCTTAATTCAAATGACACAAATTACTTAAAACTGTCGTGGTTGTGGCTCCAAAATCAATAGGCCCTTGTGTACACTAACATGGCATAACGTACGTCAACTGCCATGCTAGTAATTCTTACTTCCTCTCTGTTCCCAAACCATCCCCCCCCCCCCCCCCCCCCCCCCCCCCCCCCCTTAGGGTCAAGTAAAGGCTGTGAAATCTTAAGGAATTCCCCAGGATATTCTGACAGTAAAAATAAGGCAAAAGTGAAGAGCTTTCAAGAAATTACTAGCAAGGATAAGAGATGTACCAAGTTTACGGGGAAGAGCACTCTGTCTTCCTCAGCTCAGCACTCAACATACGGCGGAGAAGCATATCAAAACTGTGTCTCCGCACCTTCATGCTGCAAAATTTGAGGGAAAAATGGGAAATGCTGATTCCGATCAAGCTTCATTCTAAATTCGTAAAGGGAAAGTTTTTGAGAAGTATCACATCAGTTACACATACCCCATATTACGTCGTCGTTGCTCCTTTTGACTTTCATCCAGACTTTCATCCTGGGTTGTAAAGGTAGTAGTACATAAATATCAATACAAAAGTATGGACAAATGGCTGTAAGGTAAATCATTTATACAAATCCATGAACTACCAGCCCACAACAAGCCCACATACATTAATGTAGTTATGTCCAAATAACAGCAACCCAAAGCTCAATCAAGTTCAAAAGTTTGTTTACTCCACCAACCACACAATTCAAAATAGGGATATTAACATTTTATATGGAAAATCATCAAAAATGAATATGATTGCATGATATGATATTCTACAGACATGAAACATTATTGGAAACAGGAATCATTCTTTTCCATGGGGAACTTGATGACGATAAATCAACTGTGCCAACCATTACTTTACTATATGTAAGTACTCGCGCAGAATATAATATCTGAATATTGACAAGAATCTTGAAGAGGTGAACAGGTAGGATGAATTTCTTTTGAGATGATAATAGATATGATTTGATTTTAACATTTAGACTTACAATAGTGCCCCCTTTCAATCAAAGCACAAAGTTCTTTATTAAGCTTTGATATTTCAGAGTCCATGGAGCTGTTTGGCTGAGTTACCTGTATCAGGATAAGCAGTTCAACTCAGTTTAAGAGTACAATTTCTTTATCAAGTTGAGGCCCATTAAATTGTTTCTACAGTGTTTTATCTTTTAATCTTATATATTTGAGATGCCTTATCATGTCTGATGGTGGGCTGAGGATTGGAATCTGATAGACTCCTATCACGTCTACATACCCTAGAAGGACCCAGAAGAATGTAGAAGAAAATTCAGTTCGACATATTCAGTTACAGGCAGGAGTATTGTGGGAAATATGGTGAGATAGGATGCCTATAAATGTGAGAAAGGTCGGTCTGGGAAAGGGGGAGAAAATTGAGGAGTGTTGTGTGTGGAGAGACTAGCCCTCTCGAATGACTGTGTTTTCTTTTTCAGTAGT